TAAAGTTAAAAGTTATAAGGCTGCGAATCGACAAGAGCTTGGCGAGGGTTTGGGGTGTAGGTTGGTTAAGGTGACGTTTGATGTTCCGCTTCAAGCTTAGAGCCTGCATCTGGGCGGGGTTTAGGTTGGGTGCAAGGTTTCTAGCTAGCTAGCTAGCTAGCTAGCCAGCCAGCTAGCTAGATAAGATAGATAGACAGATAGATAGATGCATAGATAGATGTATTTGCACGTAAGTTCCGGTATATGATCCTGGTTTGTTGGGCCTCGAACTCCCTGCCAAACTTATGTGGCTTATATATAGGATGCCCTCAGATACAACTGTAGATGAGATAATTCCTCGAGAAGATGTATACGTCTTACAGTGAGCATGAAGCATAACCAGCACCACACCTTAGCACTCTCACCGTGGCGGCAATCGAAAATCAAGCTCCGAACTCCTGAATGCCATGATCCTACTGTCAGTCGGGCACCAACTCCCCACAACCCGCAGCCTACATCTGTAAAACCACCCACACAAACTTGTGGGTAACTCCTCTGATCTGCGGCAGGTTCCAGCATCCCCTTACTGGAGATTCACCTTCATATTCCTCAAGATTGCTGGGGGCTTATTAGAGCGAACAAGTGGATGCTGCAGTTTTTCGGGCTCTTTTTCACGTCTCGCTGTTTGCAAAAAGCTTTGCAGTAAGGCGTGTAGCAATGGGATTAGTTGTTCGAGGGCATGCGGTAGACGAGCATAGACTTTGGTGAGGTTGAGGGTGTTGACACTCTCCGGGTCCAGAGATTTCCATTTGGATCTTCAGGGCTTCTTGTGACGGAACCCTAAGCCCTCAACCCCTGAACCTCTCTTGTTCCGTCTTTGAGACTCAGTTCCCTGGCCACAGGGCCAAGCCCCCCAAGGACACCCCCCAATCAAAGTAGTGGCGGGCGGCAAACAAGGCGGCCTCGGTTAAAGGAACCTTAAAGGAACCCGGAAGGATGCTGACAGATCCGGTCACCAGAGTTTCGGGGATTCGTATCTGCTCGCAGGATTTAGTGTGTCGGGTTTGAGGATGATGGGGTCAAGAGGCTGGTGTTTGGGTTTCAATGTCACATAGATAAGCAAGAAATACATAAATGCACGAATACATAAATGAAGCAGTTTGCTTTGTAGCTAAAAGAGATAGGTATGTATATAATATATATATATATAGTAATTATATATATATATAGTAATTATATATATATATATATATGTAGTTTTCCTCATATCTAGAAGAGATAGGCCTTGATTTCGACTGAGTCTTATACGGCCTGGGCTTGCAGTTGACGTTGTCTGTTCTACGGCGCGATGCTTTTTGCTGCAGTAGTGTTACGATGCCGCATTCTCGGCTAGGATACAGTGGCCTATGACTGCACGAAAATCAACCTTTTCTCAGTGTGCGCAAGCTTTGCCATCAAGGTTGGGACAATTGGTGGCTATCGAGGCCGTGCAGCGTTTGCGCGGAGGCACTTGCTCCCATGACACACATACTGGGCAACTCCACGACCTAAACTCACTAGTTGCTTGCATTCGTGAAAGAAGCAGGGTTAGCTGTTTCGCACGGGATGCCAAGACTAGTATCCGAACGCAAAACCTCAAAACCAAGTTTGCCACAGTTCCGGAATCCCGATACCAGAAGCCCTAAACCCTCAAAAGTCAAGAGCCCTAACAGCCTGAATAGATAAGCCAAGGCCCTACAGTGAATGCATATCCCAAACGCCTTACCCTAAAACGTATGCCCATGAACCTAGGAGCCCGAAAAGGCACAAGAGTCCTAAAGCGATTTCACCACTGAGCCCTAAACCCTAAGTCCTAAACCCCAGAACCCTAAACTTTAAGTTTTAAATCTCAAAGCCCTGAACCCTAAATCCTAGACCCTCAAGCCTAAACCCTAAGTCCTAAACCCCAGAATCCCAACCCCAAAGTAAACCCTAAGTCCTAAACCCCAAAACCCTAAATCCTTAAGTCCTAAATCCTAAGGCCTAAACCCTAAACCCCAAAACCCTAAACCCTAAAATCCTAAACCCTAAAATCCTAAACCCTAAAATCCTACACCCTAAACCCTAAAACCCTAAACCCCAAACCCCAAAGCCCGACCTCTGCAGGAGCGGACTCAAAGGGCTCATGCAAAAGCGAGACGAAGCCCTGGAACGACGGCAGCATTTAGGATTTAGGATTTAGGGTTTAGAGTTTAGGATTTAGGATTTAGGATTTAGGGTGTAGGGTTTAGGATTTAGGGTTTAGGGTTCAGGTTTCCGATGCCTAGTTTCGATTCATCCAGGGCTTAGGGTGTCGAGTGTGGGGTTCAGGGTTCAGCTTTCAACCTGGGAAGATCTCAACGCCGTGGGTCACGATTACGAACAGCTTTCTTGTGAGGTGTTTGGCATGTTTCCCATCCCCTGAAAATTATGATGATGAGGAGGGAGAAGAAGATAAATGATGTTGTGGTTGTGGTGGTGGTGGTGGCGGCAGCGGCGGCTGTGGTGGTTGTTGTTGCTGTGGTTGGTGAGAATGTTGATGATGACGATCATGGTGGTGATGATTCAGTGATGATGATGATGATGATGATGATGACGACGACATGTTTGTTGTCGTTGTTGTGATTGCTTCTCATGATGATCATGATGATGTTGATGGTGATTTGCTCATGATCAGGATGGCGATTGCTGGTGCAATGCCAAAGCTGTTGCTGGAGAGTGGTGGTGCTGTGATGCGATGCGGTGCGGTGTGGCCGGATACGATGCGGTGGACGTGCCTTGTGATGCGGAGTGCCGTGCCTTTCTGTGCTCCGCCCTCCGAGCTTTGCTGTAGTGTCATTGTAAGTGTCGTCAGCATGGTTGATCCCGTGGCTGCGGTGTGGCAGTAATTAGTCCACGTCGCGGTTCTTGAATCCACGTCCCAAGGTGTCAAGACTCGACCCCGTTTGCAATAAGTGCCTGAAGTGTCTGAGGGAGTGGTGCAGATGGCGTACGAGGCAGGGTCAGAGACGGGGTCGATGTATGGTTTAGTCTTCAGGATTCAGGCGGTTTAGAGCTTACGCGGTGTGTTTCTTTGCAGTTTGGGGCTTCGCGTCTGTTCGGCCTGCACGACGGCCTTTTGCTGCCCTGGCATAGGTATGCCCTGGCGACAGCAGTCCTGCTGCAATTGCCGTGAGTACGATTTGTCTTGCGGCAGTCCGAAGCCTGGGATTCGTTTCATGCGAAGCCTGATGGGCTCAAGTGATTTGAGTGACTTCTTCGTCGTTTGCTTATTCTGCTGTGGCTTGCAAAACAGCCATGGCACTCTCCGTAGTCGCCGTAGTCGAGCTGCTGTCGGCAGCTCTCACCTACACCTCCTTGGCCACACGGATCCTGACGGTGGATGAGCCTGCGAGCAACCGCACACAGCAGCCCCTTGCTGGCTGCTGGGGGCGCACCTTCGGGCATTGCCAAGGTTTAGCATACGATGCATGCATGGATCGCTATGTTTTTGACCGTCGTCACAACAAATTCGGCGCATGCCAATGGCGGGGTTTCGAATGTACCTTCAACGTCGAGCACGACGACCCTCCAATGCTACCGGAAGAGTGCGACAAGGACTTCATCGAGCAGAACATTCCTGGCGGTTACACCAAATGGTACCGGGATTTGTGCATCGAAGAGATCTGCAACATCGCAAAGGTAGGAGGTTGGTATTCCGATGAAGGCAGCGGTTTTTGGGATCAGCTGCGGAAGCTCAGACTCAGCTACTGGAATGTGGTCCCCTACGCCGACGCCGTTACCGTTTTCGGCCGACCCCGGGGGGACCGTGCTGGTCCCTGGCCCCGAGATTACTGGAGCCCGCGGTGGGCGAAGTTTCGGCTTGAGGGGTACGTGGGATGGGCTCAAGCCATCCAGGAGCGTTGCCCAGTGCCACCCGCATGGACCGGTGTGTGGTGGAACCAGGATCTCTTTGCCGACATGATCTACTCCGACGGTCCCGACCTTTACTGGGCCCAAAACCAGTGCCCGTGATGACATATGTAAGCCCATGGCCTAGCCCAACGGCCGTCCAAAGCCAACGACCCGAAGGTCACTGGTACATCGTGCTGGGCCAAAATGTCCGAATCCAAGCCTAAACCGATGTGGCTCTGTCTTTGCATCCGAATACGAGGGCAAGTGCCGGATGTGCATTACAAAGTTACACAGGTTTTTCAGGTCTGCGCATGTTATTGTTGGGCTGGCCTCAGGCTCCCTAAACATTCTGAAAGCCCAATGGACTTCTACTGCAAAGCGACCTCGGATACCAGGGTCCCAGTTCAAAATAATCGGCTACTAAAACGGGCTTGCATGTTGTGGCATGTGGATGGATTGCTATTTTTTACATGTAGACCAGCTTCATCAGAGGTTGCTAGCTGCCAGCTTTCGAAAACCATGCTTTCCATGGCATCTTCTGTGGCTGCCATGCCTGCATTCGTTTTCTTGCAAACGAGGACTATGCCTCTATGCCTACCCTCTTTGCTTCCGCACGACTTCTGTGTCTCTTGTCCGGCTACTCGGTTTCAGCTTGGACATGTGTGCTGGTCTTGTTCTTGAAAGGACATCGTTCTTGTTTCTGAAACTTGCTGTCATTGCAAATGTTGCTAGTGCTCAGTACTACGGAGATTCCAACCGTTTGTCACAGCTCTTTTGCGGATGCTACTTCCCGATTGCTTGCAGGTTTTTCGCTTGTCCCACATGAAATCATAAATAATTGCTTGGCTTCCTGCATCCTAGCTCACCATTTAGCCAGCTGTGCTTCCGGAAATTGTGGTCACTGAGAGGTTGTGAGGTCGGGAACTGCACAAGGCAGGAAACTCTCCAAAGTCTGAAGCGTGCATGTGACGTGTACGACTTTGCGGCCTTTAGGGTGTTTACGGTCTTTGAGTGCAGGCTTGGTGTGACGCACCACAGGCTCAGAACAAGAATGCTCACCAGCAATATGAACCCCCTGAACCCCAAAAGCCCCGAGCTTTCCGCGCAGTTCAGTGTCGATGCTTTCCCGGCGGCGGCAGAGCGTCTGCGTGCAGCCGCATCAGCCACGCCATGGGCAGGTGCGGGTCTGGGCCTTCGTCGCAAAAAGGGGCTGCGCCGAGCCAGAAAACGAGAAGGTAAGCGAATAGAAACACAGGTCATCGTTCTTGGGATGTGTGGTTGCTGCTTTCTGTTTCTATCTGATGACCACATCCGGACACCAGTCACTAAGCCTAATATGGCCTCAAAGCAGCCAGGCAACTGCAGGAACTAAGGCACCAGACGACACAACCATGGCGATCTTAGAATCGGGTAAAGCATCCAGCGTCCCTTACCAGGGGGATTCCCGAATGCCTGTATTGCGGGACGCTGATGCCTATGTGGACGTTTAGGCTCCTGGAAACCCGAGCCCGGGTGCCCCCAGGCCCCGAGCATAGACCTTCAACTGCACCACGAAGCCGTGAACATCGAACCTCGAAGCCCTACTGCAGGCCCCACGCTTGAAGGTTTAAGGTGTCGGGGCTTCGGATTGAGATTGAAGGCACAGACTGCGTGGCTGTGATTCTTCCCAACTACGCCCGCAGCAAGCAGGAGCTTCGGCTGCCTCGGGTTTGTTACTGTCAACCATGGGTGGTCCCTGATTTTGAGGTTTAGGGTGTCTATCCTTGCTTGAGGGTATGAAGCTTTCGAAGCCTGCGCCGGCAACGAGCTGAAGTGTTTTGTAGGGTCTGTTTTGGGGTGTCTATGGGCTTCAGTATCGAGGGGCATTTTCAGGCTTCGGGCTTTGGACGTCTGGATCCAAAGCCATGTGTTGACCGGGAGTTTCCAGGTGAATTTACTCAGGCCTGAGTTCGGTTCAACTCGGCCTTCAACAGTTCGTGGCAGAACATTGAAAATTGGGATTTGCAAGAAACGGACCCCCATCCATTTCGATGAGTGCAGCTGTGAGAAAAAATGGTGGTTTTGGTATCAAGCCATGAAAATCATCGAAATGCTTCTCCCAGTAGAAGGCTCTTCTCGCAATCTCAATCTCTTGTCCTCAGCAATCTTGTTTTTGTCTCAGCAGGAAGGAGCCACGAATTTGAGCAAGCCCCATGAAAAGAACAACAAGGGCAGGTGCGATTGACCCCTCATCCCGCACAGTAGTTCCCGGCGACTATCAACCCACCCAAAACAAGCATCCTTGATCTCAAGACCCTATGCTCCCTAAAACGTCCTCCAACAGGAAGTTGAGGAATTGAGGGCGACCTTGCTAGCGCTTCAGGCCAGTCCCGACTCGGGGTGTCATAGCGCTTAGTTCGGCGTAGTGTTTCTGATTGAGAGGTTTCACAGAGGATTGGGGTGTTTCGAGTATAACAACAGATCGTGGTGACTGCAGTCCGAGGAACTCCTAAAGTTTTAAACCATAATGTTTAGTAAATGGTTTCCTAAACCTCTAATAGTTGGAGGCTTCGGAAACCATCTAGGGCCTAATTGGAGTCTAATTAGGCCCTGTACCATGAGCCCAAGAGCCCAAGCTCAGACTCAACCTGGGCTGTGTGGATCGGCGGTTTGGATCAGTTGAGGTTCAGGGCCCGGGTCTCGGACTCGGCATTTCCCCATCAGGTCAAGAATACCATTGTGTTATAGCATATTATAGTATATGAAAAGCAGATACATCCTGACCTTTGAGCCTAAAGCGGGGACTCACTGGAAAGCCTGGCCAGGGTCCCAACCATTGTCTCCAAAGCAATCCTGGCACCTTACTTGGAGGTTCATGGGTAGTTATAAGTGGGGTTATAAGTCCCCTGATATGGGTTATAAGTATAGGTACCCTGCTTATAACTCCACTTATAACTACCNNTACCCATGAACCTCCAAGTAGAGGCGGAAACACGCCGAAAGATCCCAATGAGTCTCAAGCCCTTGGATGAACTGCAAGCCACATCCCTCAGGCACAGGCACACAGCAAACTGGGAGCTTCAGCAACTAAGCAGTAGTAGTTCGATTCCTTCATCGGCCCTCAGGCAGCTACCGCACATTACACCCTCAAGCCCTTAATTTGGATGCACAGGTTTCTAAGTTGGTGTGAACTCGTTGTGTTGTTATTCCAAAAGCCTCCATCTCAATAGAGGCGCCTAAGTCAGTTCAGGCCCAGAAGCGGCCACCGGATGTGGTCATCGTGGTGGGCTTCTCAGATCATTCGGAGTTCAGGGTTTCAGGGTTTCGGGTCGATCTAGGATTTAGGCTTCAGAACTCAATGTCGAGGGTGCCTGGTTGATAGCGTTTGAGGCTGGCGGTTGTTGTTGGCCTGCGGACTTCGAGTGGAGTGCTGAAGTGCACCGATCACAAAATCCGCAAACGCCGGGCAAGGAATTCTCAACGACAAGTTGGAATAAGCCGTCAAGCGCGTTAAGATCCTGAACCCGCAACATCCAACCCCGAAGTAGATTCAAGCTGTTGAGGGCCTGGAGTGTGTGATGTCGACTGTGACACTGAGTTTAGATCTGGGTCCACCCAACGGGTTTCGGATTTGTATGGGGGTTGGGGCTTTGGGCTTAAGGTTCAGGCTTTTGGGTTTGTGGTTGAAGGTGTAGGCTCGTTGGATGAATTGGAGTTTTATGTTGCTCATGCCAACCGAAGTGTGCATGGCGGCGTGTGGCTTAGCTGATGCGCCGGTAGGAAGTGTGGCAGAGTACTGAGACACGATCTCATCGCAATCGCACCACCAGCGACATCTTAGGACGGTGCAGGTACTGTACGCCCCCCCCCCCC